GACGCCTCCTTTACAAGTTGTCCACACTCGTTGAAAGAGATCAGSAGTATCTTGCAGTATGTAACAGCAGACTTTGTTATTCAGATTTTGAACATATGATTAAATGATGGATAAATAATAATCATCGTTTATTTTGATAAAAAAATTATTTGTGGTTATAAAATAGAAACTAGAAAGTCTTGATTGTGGAAAGGTTCTTAATGAAGCAAAGAAAGATATCATAACAGTCATCAAATGTTTGCAATACTATGCTGGTTGGGCAGACAAGATTACTGGCCAAACAATTCCTGCAGACGGCCCCTACTTTGTGTACACTCGTCATGAACCGGTTGGAATTGTTGGTGGAATTACTCCTTGGAACTTTCCACTGAAATCATTTACATTGAAGCTCTCTCCTGCCCTGGCTTGTGGCTGTGTTGTTATTCTGAAGCCAGCAGAGCAGACTCCTTTGACAGCCATCTATCTGGCTAGTTTGGTGAAAGAGGTATGGTATACAATTGTATAAAATCACTAGCTATAATGAATAGTACTGTGTCAATTTKGATGTTTCTGTAAACGTTTTTGTGTCTACTTTATCTTTATTTTGGACCTTGCTGTAATTTGTTTGATTTTCTTACACTTGAGGCTCTATCCTATGTCAAAATCTGGACCAGGAAAGACCGTTAAGGACGTTTTAGATTGCCCTTACAAGATCCAACGCTGAAAGTGCGGTAGATCTGGAACTCTCTCCAGAACACGTGGCTCTACCTTTTATATCCCTCCCCGTTATCCCTAGAGAATATAAGGATTAGAGCCCAGTCCTACATTTCCAAACGTGACTGGTTGATTGTGAATTTTGTGTTCATGTTTCTTCGTTTGTTATTTGTAGGCTGGATTCCCACCAGGAGTTGTCAATGTTGTGCCTGGCTATGGACCCACAGCTGGAGCTGGTATCTCAGAGCACATGGAGATAGACAAAGTCACCTTCACTGGCTCCGTAGAGGTGRGCTACCTATGTCAGACAAGTAGAGGAAGACTGAGACCTTTCTGACAGTATTAAGTTAGATTTCATAAATTACATTTTAGGTTGGTAAAATAATTCAGAAGTCAGCTGCTGAGAGCAATCTCAAACGTGTTGTCCTTGAGCTTGGTGGAAAAAATCCMAACATTGTRTTCACTGATGCTGACCTTGACCATGCTGTAAGACAGAGTTTTATTGGTCTTTACTCTAACCAAGGCCAGGTATGCTGTGCAGGGTCCAGGGTTTTTGTCCARGAAGGAGTTCATGATGCCTTTGTGAAGAAAATGGTGGAAATGGCAAAGAGGAGAAAACTTGGGAATCCTTTGGAGACAWGYACTGAACAAGGACCTCAGGTACAAGAATATTGGTAATGGTTGTAAAATACTTTTACCAGGAAATCAGTGACAGTCTGAGTTTGTGTATGCAATTTTTCAGTTCATTTGTCATGGTTTCACTTTTTAAAAGGTGATAAATAAAAGGTCAAATTGAATTGTTGTTTTCAAACTTTGAACTAAATTGAGTTCAATTATTTTGAAGGTTGACACAGAACAGTTTAACAGAATTCTTGAATTGATTGAAAGTGGCAAGACAGAGGGTGCAAAGTTGGAGTGTGGTGGTAGTCGTCATGGAGATAAAGGTTACTTCATTGAGCCAACTGTCTTTTCTGATGTTCAAGATAACATGAGAATTGCCAAAGAAGAGGTACATCTGCAGTGAAAATATTCACCTTTTCCATGTTTTCTTTGGCAGCTGAAGTCCTTTTTGTTGACTTYAGTGTGTTTGTTTATAAGTTTTCAACAGTTAGGAAACAATGACCTGAATTTATGGGTTGCTGTTCTAAAGTTTGGTATATTTATTTTGTGTCACTTGTAATACTGATAGATTTTTGGACCAGTTATGCAAATCCTCAAGTTTAAGACAATAGAYGAAGTGATTGACAGGTCTAATGCTACCAAATATGGTCTTGCTGGTGCTGTCTTCACCAAGGACATTGACAAGGCCATCACTATTGCAAACAGTGTACAAGCAGGAATTATGTGGTAAGTGTTTCCTTTTGTAGTAAAACTGGTTGTGTTTTTAAACACAAAAAAAGATTTAAAAATCTTTTGTTTGCATCTGTTTTCTCATGTTTGTTTGTGCTTATCTTTCAGGGTAAATTGTTATTTTGGTGGAATCCCACAGGCTCCTTTTGGTGGATTTAARCAATCTGGATATGGGCGTGAATGGTAAGATGATTTAAAGTGATATGTATTTGTTACAAAGTGAATTTAAGATGACTGTAACTTGGTTGATGACAGTTTCTCTTTTCGCTTTAGGGGAGAATACGCTTTGGATTCATATACTGAAGTGAAAACGGTGAGATTTGTAAAGATACACGCCTTAAACAGTTTGGTTCCATGTCTTGTGTAACCGATTGTATGTTGTGTTTATTCTCAGGTGGTGATCAAGATCCCTCAGGCTAGACTATAGAACACCCGTCTACTTTAATCATCTTAGGGACAACCCATTAATTCTGTTTAAAAAAATATTGTCAGCACAGAAGTCCAAAAAAAAAATTTCTACTTTTCATATTAAAAAAAATGACCCCAAAAAATTCCCCTACCCCTCCATCACTTTTCTAATGGGTCGTCCCTTAATAGAAATCGCTGCGCAGTGTTATCATTKCGTACATCAATCAAACCATAGCCTGCTATTAAACAGGCGTTCTTGGTTGGCGCCCCCTAGCAGAAACGCCTGTTAGGCTAACCAAACCACCATGACGGGTTTTCGCGATCGGCATTCCTCTTATTATTTTCATACTCGCGCTGTCACGTAGTCACACAGTGTTACACAAGAACCCATCAAATAAAAATATACCATTCAATTTTATGTGTAACCCATCCATCTTTTTATTATTCCTTATAAAGATTACATGCTCGCGAAACATCGTTAATTTATCACATTAATAATTACAATGTCCTGTCCAATTTGCGATCACTGCGGGACTGCGGGAGCGCTCAGTTTCCTCAGTTGTGATGCTTTATCGTTCTTCAGTCACGAGCAAACTATCACCCATCATGCTTTGCGATCACTGCGGGAATGGACGGGTATTCTATAATCGCTATCTCAGATGAAGTCKTAAACAAAACGAACTGAAGGCAAGGAAAATATACAAGATGGAAAAGGAAATGCTAAGTAGGATTTAAAAAAAAAGAAAGATAGAATAATATATAGACTGAAAGACCAGTACATTTAGGTGACTGAATTATGTCTGTGTAAAATAAAGACAAATCAGTAAGCTTATGTAATAAATAGTGTTTTCTACAGATGAATACCACATGGACTTCTTCTCTTATATCATGGACCTGCTTTTGCCATGTTATGTCTTTTGATGATTACTGCAGTTTCAGGAGGAGCCGACGTGGTCTTTTCTTACTAAATGTTCTTGTACGAATTTTAAGGGATTTTGAGCTACATTGTTGACAATCTAAAAAGAAAATGTGGCGTCCTTCCTTCTTTGAAATAATTTTGTGCCTGGCAAACGTTTTTAAGTTCAAAAAATTTTTTTAGTTAGAAATTTTTATTTTCCAGGTAAAAATTCTTAGAAAGTATTCCTTGCTTGGAGAGTTCTTTTGCCAACAAGGGGCCGTTTGGCGTGCGCATGCGCCAGTCTGTTGATAATTCATTGAAATTCATTAGTGATTCACTTCAAGCGAGAAATTACAACGACACGAAGGACAATTTCCAAAAATGTTTTTGGCTGTTTTTGACCCTGAAATGTTCTGTCATGACTCAAGAACACTCATAAATAGTGTAACCTACAACGAGGAAAAACACTGGCGTTATTGGACTGATTGGGACCGTTTAAAATCTTATTTAA